GGTAATAGTAGTGATACCCTTACTTTTGACAATGTTAAGTCAAACCTATTGTCCAAAGAAAAGTTTGACTCTGAAATTAAGTCTGAAGACAAAGGTGAAGGCTTGACTGTAAGGGGTCGTTCACTTGAAACAGAGAGTAGCAATAAAAAATCTAGATCCAAGTCCAAAGGACGTAAGTCCAACAAATCCTGTAAGTACTGCAAGAAGCAGGGTCACGATGTGATTGAATGCTTCAAGTTGAAAAACAAGCAAGAGAGAGAAAAGAAGTCTGCTGAAGCTAGTGTTGTTGAAAGTGATTCAGAAGGCGATGTTATGTTATCTGTTAGCTCCGGTGACAAACGGAGCAAAACTGAGTGGATTCTGGACTCTGGTTGTACATTCCACATGTGTCCTCACAAAGACTGGTTCGTCTCTCTGGAACTGGTTGATGGTGGAGTTGTCTTGATGGGTAATGATACCCAATGCAGGGTTAGTGGAATTGGAAGTGTTCAGATTAAAACTCATGATAATGTTGTCAGGACTCTTACCAATGTTCGGTATATTCCTGATTTGAAACGCAATCTGATATCCTTGGGCACCTTGGAATCTCTGGGGTGCAAGTACATAGCTGAAGGTGGAGTTCTGAAAGTCATAAAAGGCTCTCTTGTTCTCATGAAAGCTTCTCGTTCTGGAAGCTTGTACGTGTTGCATGGCAGTACTGTGACAGGTTCAGTAGCGGTGTCCTCATCGATGTCTGATGCGGATCTCACTCAATTATGGCATATGCGTCTAGGGCATATGAGTGAGAAAGGAATGCATCTCCTGAGCAAGAAAGGTCTCCTTGGTGATTCAGGTACAGGTAAATTACAATTTTGTGAGCATTGTGTTTTTGGGAAACAAAAGAGGGTTAGTTTCTCTACTGCTACACACCGTACCAAAGATGTATTGGAATATATACATTCTGATTTATGGGGACCGACTAAATTCCAGTCTATGGGAGGATGTAGATATTTCATGTCTATTATTGATGACTTTTCCCGTAAGGTTTGGGTCTATTTCTTGAAACACAAAAATCAGGCTTTTCCTATTTTCAAAAAATGGAAAATACTTGTTGAGACTCAGACAGGGAAAAAGGTCAAGAAGCTCAGAACAGACAATGGCTTGGAATTCTGTGCGTCAGATTTCAATGACTTCTGTGCGGCAAATGGAATCGCCAGGCACAAGACCTTGCCTGGTAAACCCCAGCAAAATGGTGTTGCCGAACGTCTAAACAGGACATTATTGGAAAGAGCTCGTTGTATGCTCTCTAATGCTGGGTTATGGAAACAGCGTGATTTTTGGGCCGAGGCCGTTTCTACTGCTTGCTATTTGGTGAATAGATCTCCACATTCATCCCTTGATTTCAAAATTCCAGAGGAAGTTTGGTCAGGTAATCCTGTTGACTACTCTATCTTAAGAGTTTTTGGATGTCCTGCTTATGCTCATTCCAGTACGGGTAAATTAAACCCGAGAGCTGTCAAATGCATTTTCCTTGGTTATGCCTCTGAATCAAAAGGGTATCGTCTATGGTCTCCTGATTCTCAGAAAATCATTCTGAGTCGAGATATCACTTTTGACGAAAATGCACTACTTTCTTCTGGAAAAGATTCCAGTACAGGTGAGACGCAGAGTACTGGTGATAAGGTGGAGTTTGAGTTCAGGCCTAATGATAGTATTACTACCACAAATGGTAATACTAAAGATGATGCATCTACAATTACCGCACCTCTCGTCGAGCCACAGCGAGAATACTCTATTGCCCAAGATCGGCCTAGAAGGACAATTAAAAAACCTGCTAGGTACGCTAGTGACGATGAAACCCACTTGGTTGCTTATGCGCTTTCAGTTGCACATGAGGTTGATGGTGATCCATCCTGCTATTCTGAGGCTATTTCCTGTGCCAACTCGTCCAAGTGGTTGGTTGCTATGCAAGAAGAGATGGAAAGTCTCCATAAGAATGAGACTTGGGAGCTGGTAGAGTTGCCGAAAGGTAAACGCCCATTGAGCTGTAAGTGGATTTACAAAAAGAAAGAAGGCATTCCTGGGGTTGAGAAAGCACGGTGGAAGGCACGGTTAGTTGTTCGAGGTTTTGATCAACGTGAAGGTATTGACTTTAACGAGATCTTTTCTCCAGTTGTTCGTCATACTTCTATACGTGTTCTACTTGCTTTTGTTGCTCTTTTTGATTTGGAGTTGGAGCAACTTGATGTAAAGACTGCTTTCCTACATGGAGAGCTTGATGAAGAACTTTACATGTACCAACCTGAGGGATTTGAAGTTCCTGGGAAGGAACATTGTGTCTGCCGTCTACAAAAATCTCTTTATGGGTTAAAGCAAGCTCCAAGGCAATGGTATAAGCGGTTTGATGCGTGTATGTTGGGGCAAGGATTCTCAAGAAGCCAGTATGATAGCTGTGTCTATTTTAAAGAATTTTCTAATGGGTCTTTTGTCTATTTGCTTCTTTATGTTGATGATATGCTCATTGCTTCCCCTGATATGTCTCTGGTTGATGACTTGAAGTCTCAACTAAGCAATGAGTTTGAGATGAAAGACCTTGGTGCAGCAAAGAAGATTCTTGGCATGGAGATACACAGGGATCGTCAAGCGGGTAAACTTTATCTATCCCAGAAAAAGTATGTTGAGAAGGTGCTTGATCGATTCAATATGTCCAATTGTAAACCTGTGTCTACTCCACTTGGTGCACATTTTAAGGTATCCTCTGGTTCATGCCCTAAGTCTGATGTTGATGTGGCTTATATGTCAAAAGTTCCTTACTCTAGTGCTGTTGGAAGTCTTATGTATGCTATGGTATGCACTAGACCTGATTTGGCTCATGCTGTAAGTGTTGTGAGTCGTTACATGCATAACCCTGGTAAGGAACATTGGAACGCCGTTAAATGGATTCTACGGTACCTAAAGGGTACTTCGTCTTTGGGCTTGGTTTTTGATCGAAATTCTTCTGCATCTACTGACATTATGGGATTTGTAGATTCTGATTATGGTGGTGACCTTGACAGACGTCGATCGCTTTCCAGTTATATTTTCACTCTTTGTAATTGTGCTATCAGTTGGAAAGCTACGCTTCAGTCTATTGCTGCGTTATCTACGACTGAGGCGGAATATATTGCAGCCACAGAGGGTGTCAAAGAAGCTACTTGGCTACGAGGTTTGGTTATGGAACTTGGTGTTTCACAAGGTCAGACCGTTGTGTTCTCAGATAGTCAAAGTGCTATCCATCTCACCAAGAATGATACATATCATGCCAAAACCAAACACATTGATGTCAGATACCATTTTATTCGAGATGTTATAACTGCAGGAGATATAACCATTCAGAAGATTCATACATCGGAGAATCCAGCAGATATGCTCACCAAGCCTCTACCTATCACTAAGTTCAAACAGTGTTTGAGTTTAGTCGGATGTTTCAATTGTTAATTTTTCACCGTGAATTTGATCCAAGGTGGAGATTGTTAGAATATGGTTCAAATTATGTGGCTCTAATTAATGCATGAAGACTCTTCCACAACCTTCCGCATCGCATATGTCGCATGCTGTCCTTGGCTCTAATTATGGCTTTCTTGCACGTTCTCCGATCTCCATGGGTTACTACAAGAGTTGCGCTTTTCTTGCGAAATTGTACTGTTTAAATAGGAGCTTAGTTTTTGTTTGTAATACACATTTTGATTAATTGAATTCTTCCTTCTTACCTTTTAGCTATATCACACGTGAGCATATATATATATATATATATATATATATATATATATATATATATATATTTAATTTATATTCTCTCTAAGAGATTAATATATATATATATATATATATATATATATATATATATATATATATATATATATATATATATATATATATATATATATATATATATATATATACATTTATATTTCCCATTGGTCCTTATTCTTTGTCATTTATATATTTTCCCTATTATTTAACTTCTATAATTCTCAATTTTCGATTCTTCGCTTCCGCATTATTCCGCTATATTCCTAACACGGCAACAGGTATTATTCTGACTGACTCCTTAGTTACTGTATTGTTAGTTTGTTACTGATGTCTGCAATCTCTATGCCACTTTTGGGATTTTTAGATGTGGCAATGATCTGTGTCTCGTGCTTGTTGGTTGTATGATTGGGTCAGTGGTGCCTGCCATTGTTGGATTATTGAACGTAGCAAGCAAGCTATGAACGCTAGCTAGCTACATTGTATATGTATGTTTAGATAGATTTTGAAATTTCTCAAACTTTAAACATAATGTTTTTGTGGGGATGTGTGTGTGAGAACAGTGGATAGAGGCCTTGCCGCAGACTCTGTAGATGTAGAGTCTCCAGTTCAAATTTCCCTAATAATCTGTAAAACCATTTCCTTTGTATAAAAAGGATAAAAGGAACTAGTTTAATTATTCTTCTGCCCTTGATTGGACTTTTGTGTTTGTGAATAAAGAACAAACATGTAATGGTTACCAAACCTGCAAATTCCAACCAAATCAAGGACTCTAGATCAAAACTATGACAGAAAGTTCAGAAGTTTAAAATACTCCAATGTCATAGTACTTGTTAAAATCTTGGGCCAGAACTTAAATATTGGAGGTAATTTCTAAGCCAGAACTTAAATTTTCGAGGTAATTTCTAAGGACCAAATTTGATGATTAAGTTTACTAACTTCCAGCCAATACATTTCATATTTAACAGGCATTTCATCTTGTCTAATGCTCATTCTAGATTTCCATTATTTTAATATTTTCAGAAGTAGCAAATCCTGAATTGGTTCTTGAATCTTGAATTGGTTGTATTTGGTTCTTGAATCTTGAATTGGTTGTATTTGGTTCTTGAATTGGTTGTATACTTGTATAAGTTGTATTTGGTTCTTGAATTGGTTGTATTTGTCATTTATTTGAGGTGTTTGAGCTATTTTTCTTTAGGGGAATTAATACTTTAGTGGCATCAACTCCAAGTATGGCAAGTTGCGATACTAATACTTGTCAAAGTGTTGGATCTTCTCAACCATCTACTGTAAAAAGAAAGTCTAATGATATAGGTTGGGAGTATGGAGTAATTCATGATCCGAATAAGTCAATGGACAAGGTTAGATGTTTATTGTGCAAGAAAGTAATGTCTGGTGGAGTTTATCGAATTAAAGAGCATATTGCTGGCATACTAGGAAATGTTAGCAAATGCCCCACAGCTTCAAAGGAAGATCAATTAAAATGTAGGGGAGTTCTCATGATGGCAAAGAACAAAAAGAAGAACAAGAGAGCTGAAGATGTTAATCTCAGAGCAGAGGTAAAGATTGATGTTCATGAGAGTACGAGTAATACTAATAGTATAGATGTTGATGAGTTGCAACAGTTTGGACTTGTGAAGCCACCTCATCAAATTGGCCCTATGGATAAGTTTGCAAATCAAATCAATCATGAATGTTCTTCAAGTTCAGGAAAGGGCAAGGCACAACAACGGATTATTGAGGCATTTGACAAAGAAAGGGGTAACCGGGTGAAAGAGTACATATGCAGATGGGCCTATGAAGCAGCCATTCCATTTCATGCTTTTGAGAGAGATAGCTTCAAGTTGCTACTTGAAGCAATAGGTCAATATGGTCCGGGGGCTCAAGGACCAAATAGATATGAAATGAGTGAGACGTATTTGAAAAAAGAGGTTGATCGAGTTCGAGAAGCTTTGAAAGTACATGAAGCGGAGTGGAAACTAAATGGGTGCTCAATTATGATCGATGCATGGACAGATAGGAATAGAAGAAGCATCATGAACTTATGTGTTAACTCAAGGTTGGGCACAATTTTTTTATCTTCTAAAGAATGTTCAATTGAGGCACACACAAATCAGTTTATATTTGAGTATGTGGAGCATGGCATTCAACAAGTTGGAGAGGATAATGTTGTTAAATTGTCATAGATAATGCCTCGGAAAACATGGGAGCTGCTAAGTTGTTGAAGGAGAAGAGGCCATTGATATTTTGGACTTGTTGTGCAACTCATTCCATTAATTTAATGCTTGAAAGCATTGCAGGTATGTGCAACCAATAGTGTAAAACTATAAATGTTTAATACTTTAAATCTTTAAGTCTTTAATAGACTATATGATATATCAGTAATCACTAATACTTGAATGCCTTGTAGGTTTACCAAGGTTTAAAAGAGTTCTTGAACAAGCAAAGAGTTTGACTATCTTTATCTATGCACACTATAAAACATTGGCAATGATGAGATCCTTTACAAAGAAGCGTGACATAGTTAGGCCAGGCGTGACTAAATTTGCTTCTGCATTTCTTACTTTACAAAATTTAGCTGATACGAAAGTTGAATTAAAAACTATGTTTATAAGCAATGAATGGGATGAATGTAAATTTGCCAACACAGTTAAAGGGAAACATGCCTATTATACTGTTGTGAGTCAGGCATTTTGGCAAGGGGTGGCATTATGCTTGAAGGTTTTTGCACCGTTGGTGAATGTGCTTCGTATTGTTGATCAAGATAAGAAACCTTCAATGGGATTTGTTTATGGTGAGCTTATACAGGCTAAAGAAGACATTAAGAAGGCATTGAATGGAGTTGAAAAAAACTATGAGCCTATTATTAGAATAATCGAAGAGAAGATGAAAAATAGGCTAGACACCCCTCTTCATTTGATGGCTTTCTTGTTGAATCCTTATTACCATTATAAGGATCCTCTGCTTCATTTGGATGTTGATGTTTCTATTGGAAGCATTGAGTTTATCGAGACATATTACTTTGGTGATATAGAAATGCAAAACAAGGTATTAATGGAAGAATTGTCCAAGTATAAGAAGAAAGATGACATGTTTGGAAAATCGATTGCGGTACAAGGTTGTGAGTTTAATGATGAGCAATATGATCCGGGTAAATAAAATAGTAAAATACTAGTTTTAAATTTTATTACATATTTAATATTTTTATTGCTTTAATTTTAAAATTTTAATACTAATTTTGAATTTTCGATACTTTGATGTAGCAATGTGGTGGTCAACTTTTGGTGTGGGAACTCCAAACTTGAAAAGACTAGCAATGAAGATTCTATCTCTTACTTCAAGTTCTTCGGGATGTGAAAGAAATTGGAGTATATTTGAAAAGGTTAGTTAATTTGTATTTGCTTTACATAGTTATTTTATTTGGAAGTTAAATACTTGATACTTGATACTTTAGGTTTTTAACTATCTAAGTCTCTAAGGTAGTGAATTTAATTGTTTAGTTGTTCTAACAAGTAACAACATATTTTGAATTTTACTATTTTAGGTACATACAAAAAAGAAAAGAAATAAGGTGGAATCTAACCGCCTAAACAACCTAGTCATTGTGCAATTTAATGCAAACTTGATGAACAAAAGAAAAAAAGAGAAAAATGTTGAATTATTACTTGCTAATGATGCAAGTTTCGCACAAGATTGGATTGTTGATAATGTGGAAGTTGAGGTTGAAGATGGAGTGGAATTTGATGAGGAACTGGATGAAGCACTAAGACTACGGAGGAGTTGTAGATTGAGAGAGCTTGAAGAAGATAACTTTGAATCCGAAACTGAAGAAGAAGTTGATGTTGTTGAGTTTGAAGATGATGAAAATCATGTGATAGATTAATATGGACAATGAGATGGGGAAGAAAACCTTGAATTTGACATTATTATTATTTGTTATTTACTTTGTTTTGAAATTTGAATACTTGGGTTTTTGTATTAATTTGATGATTTCTTTATTTTGGACTTTTTGGTTTGCATAGACTATGAGTCTATGATTTTATGATTTTATGATGAATTGATTTGGAAGTTTGCTTTGTGAGTTGTGAGTTGTGAGTTGTGGCTTTGTGTTTGTGTGTTTTTGTGAAATTCTGTTTTAATTTTTAGTTCTTTAAAGTTGTATATAATTTACAATTAAATTAATCAATTATGTTCTTTAGATAATTAGGTATTTAGGTTAATATTTTAGTAATTTATTATTTTAGTATCAAATTATTAACGTATTAACTATTAAGTATTTAAGTACGGAGTATTAACTATTAAAGAGTAAAGAAAAGTATTAAACACTTTACATTTATTAACTTTTAAGGGGTGTTTGGTTGGATGTAATTTAGTTGTAATTGAATTGTAATTCAATAATTACATTGTTTGGTTGGAGAGAATTGTAATTCTATGAAATTGCAATTCCCTTCTTTTTTTGAGTTGCAATTAGGGCTGTAAACGAGCCGAGCTGAGCTCGAGCTCGATAAGCATAGTTCGGCTCGAGCTCGATAAGCACAGTTCGGCTTGAGCTCGAGCTTGAGCTCAAAAAATGATGCTCGAGCTCGGCTCGGTAATTTTTCGAGCAGCTTGATTGTTTGAGCTCGAGTTCGAGCTCAATCTCGATTTGAGCTTGAGTTCATGCTCGATTTTAATCTTCAGTTTGATCTATTTGAATTTATATATTTTTTTTTTTGAAGGAAAAATATAGCTTTTATTAAATCAATTGTTCAATACAACTCGGACTAGCAAACAACCAAACAGCTAAATTCATACATAAATAATAAAAAATTCAAAAGTTCAAACTTCAAGAGTTAGGTTTTCCTACTTTGTGAGTTTTAAGTAATATATATATATATATATATATATATATATATATATATATATATATATATATATATATATATATATATATATATAAAATTTAGTTATGGCTCGCAAGCGGCTCGTTTACTAAGCGAGCTTTGACCGAGCAGCTCGCAAACCGCTCGCGAGCCGCTCGGCTCATTTACACCCCTAATTGCAATTCATGGGGGTAACCCATGAATTGCAATTCAATGCTTTTGGGAAATGAAAAAGTGTAAGAAATGACAAAAATACCCTTGTTGATTGTTATTATTATTATTATTATTATTATTATTATTATTATTATTATTATTATTATTATTATTATTATTATTATTATTATTATTATTATTATTATTATTATTATTATTACTATTAAACAAGGATATTTTAGTCTTTATACCACTTTTTCATTCTCATCCCTAATAATTCTATTCTTCCCTACCAAACAATGTAATTTGAATTCCCTACCTTATTCATTTTTTCCACCGAAGTACAATTCATTTCCTTCCTAATTCCTTTCTCCCACACCCGGGTAAAATTTTTTGGGAAACGGTATGAATAGACAATTGAACTATTTAGGGATAGCAATTAAGCTACCAAACTCGAATAAGCTCCAAATTCATCCATGAACCAAATGATTGAGATGTTATGTGTATATTTTATTTTTATTAGGGAAAAAGGTCAAATAGGTTTTCAAACTTTTGCTAAAAAGTCAATTAGTCACTCCAACTTTTTAAAGATGTAATTACACCCATGAACAATGCATTTTGATGCAATGAAGCCCAAATACAGGTAAATGACCAATCATTATTTGTGGACCATGGTCCAAACAAGTTGTATGAACCATATTTTGTATACTGTAAAATAATGTACATTCAATACAAAAATAATGTACATTCAGTACAAAAATAATGTACATTGTATTAAGGGGATGTACATTATTTTTATACTGAGTGTACATTATATTGTATAATGTACATTCAGTACAAAAATAATGTACATTTAGTATATTAAAAATGTACTTTTTCGTTATGGTCCACATAACATTGTGTGGACCCTAGTCCACGCAATAATTTGCTGTAAATGACTTGCTACATAGGTCATTGAAGATCCAACCATTTTCTGGTATATTTTCAGGCTAAAAGTGACTGGCGACTACGGAGAAGGCCAACATTGGATCGCCTTCTCCACCGGATAAGGCAACCTAGATCTGGGTTGCCTTTTCCTGGTGACCACAATGGTCAATCTTTGAAGTTCAAAAGGCCAAAATCTAGAGAAGTTAGTTCAAGATTCCTGTTGCCGACCTCAAACTCCCAGTCGGCTAATAAGATAAATGCAATGTCATCTCCGAATCACGTTCTGTCGCCGATGAAGCAGAAGCGCCGATCATCCACGGATTTTCCAAAGCATAAAGCCATCGAGAAATCGGGTTTCATGGCGAAGCTTTGGCCCTCGTCCGCCCCGTCCTCGCAATCTTCAAGCTCCAAGGTGGACACTCTTGGCAATCACCTCGGACAGAGAGAGGCTAAAAGACCTTGAAGACGAAAATCATGGAGACAGAATGGATAATCCCATGTTTCTCAATTGGCATAATAGTTGATGGGAATTTACCAGGTTTGAGCGCGAGAAAGATAAAAGAGCAAACAAAAAATCACCAGTCAATGATCTGTGGGTCCATGTCCATACACTACACCGAAAAATTCATGCTTCCCGGTAGATCTTTTACTTCTTCATCCTCGTCTTCGTCGTCTTCAAATGCTTATGCACCCATCTTAGACAGCAATTTGGTGAAAAAACTTGTTAAAATTCTGGTTCAAACCATCTCGCAGGGTATAACAATATGAAATGCATAGATAGTTGCTCTCATTTCATACCTGCAATATTGATTTTGACATGGCAACTGCATATATCAACGGGAACAATCGAGCAAATGAGAAGGCCAGTTAATGGAGGAGTAACAAGAACAAATGCAATGGTCGCTGGTCAACAGTATATTGAAGGTTCACGTCAGCTTAAACCGGTGCCATGTCATCTTGGTAATTGGGAATCCTGTGAAAATGATAAACGAAAAAAAAGTTAATGGTAAGTGGATCGAATATGTGTTTTGAAAGGTCAGGATGCGACATGAACAATCCGATATAATTCATGGTGCGGGATGACACTTTAGCCTTAATGATTTAGAAGTAATTATGAACTCCGTGTTGGGGAAAATAGCAACATCAACGCACGATCTGGAAGCCTTTTAAGAAGCACGGACACTATTGGTGTATGGTTGAAAGGAAATCTATGCCGTGTTACAATAAGACTACCTTAAAAACGTTATTTTCCCGGTAACGGTGCAGTTAGAACCCTGGCACGCTTTCGACAGGCTACACAGACCAACTACGGATAGCTTGCACTAGCAATCACGTAGGCGAACCTCACTATTGCTCAGACTTGAACAGGCAAGCATAGAATTATATATTATAATATATATTATATAATATATATTAGTAACGAAGAAGGAATGAAGAAGAAGATGTTTCTTCTTGGTGTGTTTAAGACAAAAAGGACATGCCCCTTTTATAGTACATGGGTAAGAGGAATTCAAACAACCCCATCCACACACTAGCGCAAGAAGGGGAAGTGGAAAACAAAGAAGTTCATGCAGCCACAAATTTGTCCGCACTCCCTGATGCTTCTTTGAATGGACAATTTCAGGGAGTGCGGACAAATTTGTGGCTGCATGAACTTCTTTGTTTGCCACAACTATACACACTTGTCAATTCTCTTACCAATTCAATATTCAAGCAACTCACTTTAAAAACCAATCAAAACACAATTTACTTCACTAGAAAAGCTATGAATGATCACATTATTGAAAAGACTACCAAAGCAAGAAAACAAAATATAAAAATGCACAAGAAATTAAGTTAGCATGGGGTGCCTCTCATAAAGCGCTAGGTTTAACGTCGGTAGCTCGACTCAACATCTGCACTTGTCAACCGTAGTTCAGGTTGAACAAGTATCGAACTACCTTTGCAACGATCTCCTCCATTTCTTCCTTGTCCATGACCAGCAGCTTCCTTCCGTTCTTCATCATGGTTTCACTTGGCTTCTTCTGAATATTCTCCAAGTTTGGGAAACTAGTCCCCTTCTCTTTATTACTCAAAATTCTCGAAAGATAATTACTCACAGGCTCTGTCATAGTGTCCTCCTTTAAACAAGAGGATTTCTCCTCCACTTCACAAAACATGTTAAACTCAATTTTCTCTTCTGGGAGTTCCATAAATAATGTCCCTTTCTTGACATCAATTCTGAATCCTAGAGTGGCTAAGAATGGTCTTCCTAAAATGATGGGGATCAAGGAGTCTTCTTCAATGTCTAAAACCACGAAATCACAAGGGATAAAGTGTTGGTCTATCAGGACCTTAATGTCCTCAAAGATCTCGACCAGATTCTTGATAGAGCGGCCAGGCATTTGTAAAGTCATGTTGGTGGGTACCGGTTCTTATAAGCCAAGCTTTTTGCACAGGAGAATAAGACATAATGCTAACACTTGCCCCTAAATCACACAGGGTTTTTCTCACAAGATATTCTCCTATAACACAAGGGATAGAAAGGGTTTTTCTCACAAGATATTCTCCTATAACACAAGGGATAGAAAAACTACCTGGGTCATTGCGCTCAGGAGGAATAGAATGTTGCAGTGCCAAACACGTGGTAATAGCATTTTCCTTTAGTTCCACAACTGTCCTCTCAGTGGCATCCTTGCTAGTGGTCAACATCTTCTTAAGAATCTCTTGTAAGCATGAATTTGCATAACGACTTCCATAAATGGCATTGAAATTTCCAGCTCACTTAGCCATCTTTTGAACTTGTTTTCCTTTTCAGTCTCCGATGATCTCCATAATCTTTGAGGAAATGGAAGTATGCTCTGACAACCCAAAAATTTATTTTCTAAATTTTATTTTACAATATTCCAAAATAGTCATTTTTTATTCTTCAAAAATTTTATTTTGAAAACGGTGCTTGAATTAATTATTTTGAATTACGTTTTTAAATAAATTCGACACCAAGATTTATTCTATTTCAAAA